TGGACATACTGAGGTAACCTCGGGTAACACGGTTCTATTATTCTGTTTGACGGTAATATACAGCTATGCGGTACGGTTTCCGGTTTTCTGAGAGGCTTCTCACCAGTTTCACCTGTTTGCCATTACTAGTGAGCAGTGATTACATAGTGCCTGCAGCATGGTGTGGCTCAAGTTTGTAGTATTCTGTGCCCAAAACGTGTATCCTGGTCTGTGTGAGCTTTGTCGCATGGTACGCCTGAAGTGCATAGCATGTTCTGCTTGAACTTGCTACCTACATTTCTACTTCCATGGACGTCGCCTACTGTGAACCAAGCGTGCGTTCAACATCTGCCTACAGTTGTGGTGTAACGCTTGTTCTATGGCCTTTATCTGACCAGAGACGAGCCTCAGTGTAGGTAAAGACTTAAAGCAAGAGTTTCCCAAAGCAGCTGACCCCCTTCCCCGGTACCTAGGCATCCAGGGCGTTGAGCTCAGGGCCTGGGTGTTGCGGGGAGGAGGCAGCCAGAAATGGGGTTGCAGCGCACCCCGCTGCGGCTGGCAGTGCAAGCCAGCCCCGCGCGTGCACGAAAGGAAGCTTCACGGAAGCTTCCTTTACTGCACGCTTTGCCTCTGAACGAACTTGTAGAACGTTTGCAAGCGCTTACGCGCAGCATGCCAAAACCGTCGAAAGGCTCCTGAGCTAACTCTGCGCTAACTCATGCTACATCTGCCACCCCATCAGCAAAAGCGCACCTCCTCGTGCGCAGATAGTCATGTTGAACTTGATGGGCTGCTGTTGGAGCGACAGCTCTTGGCGCTGCTGCGGCTGCTGCTGTTCTCCTCACCGGTGCCCGTCTCTGCGATGAAACGAGGGGAAACTGGTAAAAAGAGGTCCAATAGATACCGAGTGAAAGAGAAGGGTGATGGCAATCAGCGTGTCGGTCGCCGCATCTGACTCAAACGGTGAGTCATGATGCCGTGGGGAGCGCTGAGAGGTGCACTGTCTCATCACTTCCAGGCGGAGTGACCTCTATGGCACCATCAGAGGAACGCATTTGCGCCTTCCACTGGGTCACCCACGGCATGCCTAGGATTATGTCGTGGAGAACAGGTCCAACGTAGAAGTCCCTAGTCATAGGACTGTGCCCTGTTTTGGAGCTGACGGAGCATTTCACGCCCATAGTTTTGCCGATTCTAGTATCCTGCCTGTCATATGCGAAACGA